GATAAAGAAGTCGGAAAGCAGAGGCCCACAGGCTGTCGGCAGAGAACAAGAAAAGGTTCAGATCTGTAAGTAAATAAATTCTAATCGTTCCCAATTCTAATCTTACACATGTTAACATTTTAATGAAAACCTTATTTGAAGAAAATCAAGTTAATGTAATTTCTTTAAATGTACACTGACATTCAAAAGAACTTTTAAAATGAACACTGTTTAATACGTGCAACGTAGAATTAGAAATATACAGCTTAAAGACTTTTAAATAGTACATAGCAAAGCGCCAGTCTAGATTATTTTTCTAACTCAGTTGGTTTTGGTCTGGACATATTTCACCTTGCACACATCAATTATATAAAATATTAACAACACCACATGTTGCAAACACACTGTCAATAGCAGTATGAGATATTAAATATGGAGGTCCGCCTATGACCCCATTCAATTTCTTGTCTGCCAGAATGACCCCACATTAATTTTTTTTTAAAAACCCAAGCATTTCTTTTCACATCATTTTCAAAATAATGGGTAATTCGTAGTTCTATACACGTAGCATCTAAGCATAATGTATGTAACATTCAGAAAATAAGTTATGGCTTTCACATCAGAATATGAGAATTTCTCAGAAAAACTAGGAAAAATGCATTGGACAGTGGTTTTAGTCTATTTTTCCTCAAGGAACATTAGACAGTTTTCCTTTCTCTAGCTAGCGATATTGTTCTCGAATGATTCTTTGTACTGATTGTTTATTGTTTTCTCACTTTCAGAAGCTGGAAAGCAGGAAGAAGGTCCAGACAACGTATGACTCGCCGGAGAAGAAGAAGCAGAGTGTTCTTCCTCTCTTGGGGAAAGAGTTAACATTTCTCAAATTGGAAAAACAAATAATATAGATTAATCAACATTGATGAGTTTAGGAAAACATTCCATACTCGCTGCTGTTTATTCCCTTCAATTATTTATGCATTTTGAAAATTCATTATTTTATTAATGTGAACATTCCAAATATTATTTGTTTATCAGTAAATTGTTGAATGTAAATAAACTTTTCATGAATTTGTGTTCTATTCTGTTATTTGTCATCCTGACGGTTTTATCATTATGCAGTTGTATAAAATACCTGATTTGGTATGTGTGATGCATGAAACACGTCCTCTTTTCTGGAGGAGACGGTAAGGGGCCGGCACAATTCAGATTCAATTTCATGGAAACCAGGTTATAAGTTGGAAACTAGGTTGGAAACAACAATTAACTAAGCACCAGCAGGAGCCTTCATGGACGAGTGGGTAAAGTCCCGACATGGATACTACCCGGATACTGGTGTAAAATGTAGTTTCAGTTTTAATGGAAACTAGGTTATAACTTGGATACTAGGTTGAAACCTACAACAAACTAAAACATGGAAACCAGATTGAAACCTACAACAAACTAAAACATAGAAACCAGGTTGAAACCTACAATAAACTAACACATGGAAACTAGGTTGAAACCTACAACAAACTAAAACATGGAAACCAGGTTGAAACCTACAACAAACTAAAACATAGAAACCAGGTTGAAACCTACAATAAACTAACACATGGAAACTAGGTTGAAACCAACAGTAAACTAAAACATGGAAACCAGGTTGAAACCTACAATAAACTAAAACACGGAAACCAGGTTGAAACCTACAATAAACGAAAACATGGAAACCAGCTGGATCCTGCTTGGAGGAGTGGGTAATGAATCGCACTGGAAACCAGCCGGAAATGGTGCAAAATTCAGTTTCAGTTTTCATGGAAACCACATTGAAACTATAGGAAACTACCTGGAAACCAGCTGGAAATGGTGGTTTCCATGGCGTTTCCTCTCAGTTTCAGTGTTCCGGAAACCAACTTATTTTTGTAGTGTTGGTACTCAGATTCGTGGAAGACTTTACTAGGGCCGTTTGATCTGTGGTAATGTGTGTGTTACATGGTAATTATGTCGTCGTTTCAGATACCTTCCGTATGCCATCTTGTCACGCAGATAGTTTTAACGGTCCTTAGCTGGTAGAGGATAATGGCGCTTTTGTTGAGTTTTATGACATGTTAGGTACGTATCTCATGAACCAAAGGTTTGTTTATCTCCACAAAAGTAAATCTCAACTAACACAAGCATGATTACACAATGCCATTTAGAAAGTGGTCAAATGTAACATATGTTATATTTGGGATTACACTTTCTTAGTAAAGTACAAATTACTGTGTAATCATAGCTTTCGGCCGTGGGAGCCGTGCCTATTAACACTTATCAGAGGGGACACAAAGTCTGCAGTCGAGACTACCAGTTGTCCGACTTCCATTTTTGTGGAAGTCGCGGTAGCTGAGCGGGTTAGGCGGCTAACTTTGTGTGCTGGCGATTAGGTGCCTGACTCTGAGGGTGTGAGTTCGAATCCCGGATGGGGCTCAACTCAAAAAGTACTAGAATTTGTACTTTACTAAGAAAGTGTAATCCCAAACATATGTAACACAAGCATGTTTACTCCAACCAGAACCCGAAAAATATTCCCGTTACCATAAGAAATCTCTTTTTGTCACCCGATATGTATTATGTCTACATCGGAACGTCCCTTGTATAAGAAATGTAAAATATGTCATCTTCACAATCATAATAATCACTGCTCACAGTCGAGCCCATTGTAAGATTTGTCTTTATTACCCACGTGGTCAACGTATGGGTAGTTGCATACTAATCTCGTATGTCACACGAGGGTCGTATCGCGTTGACCTGTGTCGTAACGACTTGACCTGAGATTCTAACAATTTGATTGGATAACCGATGACCTCTCAATTAGGTCACATTCTGACGTAACTATTTTTTCATTCATAACAAACACGTGAATCCATTCATTCTACAACTTAAATGCATTGTGGGAATGTAAACATCGCGAACGTTGCCGTGTCGCTGTTTACTTGTGAGTCGAACTGCGACATTATACCTGTCGACAAACGTAAACGCAATGTTTCCACCAGTGATGTTAGCCGAATGAAGCAACTGCAAACCAAGAAACGGGGTGCTACGGAGTAGTTTACTGTAGGAGGCTGTACGAGGCGATGACAACTGACATGCATCGTGACGTCGGTTACCAAGGCAGTGACGTCATGCAAATATTGTACTACAGTACAAAACTCTTCCGCAACCTCTTTATGAAACCGGTTTCGGTTTGAAACCAAAATATTAACAAAAATACGCTATTTTGTCAATTTAATGCATGTAAGACGTGGGTAATAAATATAATACCACACTCGGTCTCATTACATACGAATTTTACGAAACTCGTGACCTTCCTATGGTATCTGACCTCGCTTTCGCTCGGTCAGATACCATAGGAAGGACACTCGGTTCGTATAATTCGTATGTAATGAGACCTCGTGTAGTATTCTCTATGTATGAACGCGTTAAATTTCACTCGCTACCAAATTGGGATACCAGGAGTTTGCATGATTTGCAATTAAATCAATTCACGTAGACGCCTAATATTTGTTACGGTTATGTGTGCAATGAAACGACTCTTTGTTAATGCATTTCAGAAAATAACTCAATTTATTTTAAAACATAATGCATCGAAAGAAATTCTATATGTAAATCCATACAATATGTTACCTTTGTTATTTACGAGCCTGACAAGGCCAACTGTTACCGATCTTTGTGAAGCAAAGAAATATAAGCCTGACTAAATTCATTCCTCACCAAACTGTGAAACAGCAGTGACAATGTACGATGGTAACAGGAGAGGTAACCTTATACCCTTCAACTGTGATGATGTTTAAACAGTAGCTCAGATGTCTATGTGGGTGTGTGGACGTGTGGAGTTGGTGTAATAGGGCATCGTGTCATCTGTTCCCATAGAACCACGAACTGAAGGCATGTCTATAACAATAACCATGCTCCAATCACATCAACTCATGTTATAGGCCGCCTTGCACTGAACTTGGACACGCTCTCGTCATTGTGTATACTCGGATATTTCGGCCAGCGCAACAGACCATATATCAGAAACATGATACCCATTGCATTGTTCATACCCTTGCAACACGCTTGCTTTGTAGAAAATAGACAAGTGGTCATACTGTCGCATAACATCAGTAGACAAGATTCAAAATTAACATACCGCTCTTATCTTCAACAAAGGTAGTACATCTTGAAGGAATTGCCTTGTCTAGGATCGATGGTTCACTGACATCCATTTTCGAACTGTTGGTGGCGAGATGGGGACGGTAGAACTGGATATGTTTACCATTTTGACAAACACCTTGTGTCAAGGGGGATGTCATGTGATCAGCTCATATAACTTGCATCGCTATCCAGACGGACCAAGCAAGTAGTGACATATTATACAATATCATGATAGCCTGGAGTGTAGCAGAATGTAAATTTACTATTTTACGAATTTCTTATCGGGAGCAATGTGTGTGTCTTTAGGTGAACACGGCGGCTCAGGTGGAAATCACTTCTTGATAATGATTCATGACATTCTTATGAGTGAGTGAGTGATTGAGTATAGTTTTATGCCGCACTCAGCAATATTCCAGCTATATGGCGGCGGTCTGTAAATAAACGAGTCTGGACCAGACAATCAAGTGATCAACAGCATGAGACATTCTTAAGAAATTGTCCCAATTGAAACATCGGCTTTTAGCAAAGACGTATTATGCTTATGGAATTGGTGCTGTCGCATATTATTTATATTGTTCTGACTGTTGAAATTAGTCGCAAACATCATTAACCAATACAATTGTAAATCTTGATTTGCTTTCACTCTGTCCAAGTAGAAAAAGAAATGTTACCTGAATAACACCTGACGTCACCTGTACAAACACACACCTATACAACAGTCGTCATACCATTGGCTGATAAACAACAAGAGTCCCTCTCTGATTGGTCAGCTGTGAAGAGACACAACTTGAAATGTATCCTCGTAATGGTCGTTTCTAGGATAAGTTTGTGTCTCCCGGGATACACAATATATAGACTGGACACAGGTTCGGGAGTCAAGTATGTTGCCACAACATCTCCCTCTGCCTGTTGTGGTAACAGATGATATTAAAAGGGCGGAGTGTAGGTAGGTTCCATCTAGCTTCAACTTGACCAGGAGAAGACCAGTTCAGAACAGCAAGCAAAATGGTTCACTTTCTTCATATCTCAGGTAAGGAGTTATTTTCCCCTCCTACCTCTCTTCCTTGCATTTCCTAATATATTAACGTCTTTAGAGCTTACTGGACAAAACCTCATTACAAGAAGACCGATAAGCTTCTGACCAAACTACAGGTTCGTGATATATTCTATTTTTATCTGAGTGAACTGTATTTATGCAAATTATGTCTATTGTAGATATTATAATGACGGCACTTTGTGCTGTTATGTTAACGTTTGTTACACAAGTGTGATTCTCAACTAGATGTTTGTACTATTTAATTTTGTCTGCACCAAAAGCATGGTTAACGTGAGTGATATTTGCCACACCAACACGCGCTCGTTGCTATTGTTGTATAACGCCAAGGTAACAGATATATATATTTCATGTATACAAACTATAACCTATATGTATATACATTACATGTCTCCCTTATCTCTTATAGGTAGGGTTGTTTTGCCAGAGAAATAAGGCATTGTGAACTGCACCACTGATTTTACTTCAGCAAAAGTGAAATTTGTCTCCCCTTATTAATATCTGTCAGAATAAGTTTAACAACTATTGATTTAGTCTTCATTGACTAACCTGCGGGTTCAGTGGAAATCTGCAAGGAGCTCACTTCATTTATTAGAAGCGGTGTCGCATACCTCCTTGAGTTTAAGTAGTTCATTGGAAGTCAGATATGCAAGAAGTAGTCGTACCTAACTAAAGGTTCTGGGGTGAACTTGCATCAGTGACAAAACTTATGTGCTATGCAATTCCCTATTTTGACTTATACCATGCATTCCCGAGTTACTGCAGGTGAGCAACTCACTAGACTTAGCGTATGTTTATGATGGGTACCGCAGGATACTCTCACTAGACTTAGCGTATGTTTATGACGGGTACCACCGGTGGGGCAGGATACTCTCACTAGACTTAGCGTATGTTTATGACGGGTACCACCGGTGGGGCAGGATACTCTCACTAGACTTAGTGTATGTTTATGACGGGTACCACCACCGGTGGGTACCACCGGTGGGGCAGGATACTCTCACTAGATGTTTATAGCGGTGGGGCAGGATGTTTATGACGGGTACCACCGGTGGGGCAGGATATACTCACGTATGTTTATGATGGGTGCCACCGGTGGGGCAGGATACTCTCACTACACTTAGTGTATGTTTATGACGGGTACCACCGGTGGGGCAGGATACTCTCACTAGACTTAGCGTATGTTTATGACGGGTACCACCGGTGGGGCAGGATACTCTCACTAGACTTAGCGTATGTTTATGATGGGTACCACCGGTGGGGAAGGATACTCTCACCTTTTCGCGAACACCGGGCATCATCACTATTTCATAGTGATTCCTATAAACACATGCTCTGTCATGGTATCGCAGAGACTGGATTGTTTGGTCCAGACTCGATTTGTTTACAAACAATATCATACAGCTGCCATATTGCTAAAAAGACAAACATAAACTCACGATAGAGTCACAATTGTACAAACAACTTTGCTTTTAGCCTAAATTTCTTATGGATGTGCAAAGGGCTTTGTCTTGCAACCGATCATATGTCTGTATGTCCAAATCTTGTTCACACGTTTACATATATTCTATGTAGACAAAATAGGGACATACGTGAATATATGTATGAACGTGTCGACAACACTGGTATATAGGGATATAACCATGAATGTCTAGAAGGTATAGGGATATCAGGATATATGCATGATTATATGAAGATGGATATAAATACACTAAACGCCAAAAGAAACGTTACCCTCCTTTCTTAATGACGGAGGTACCTATCTTCAGCTGGCGTTGTGATGCGTGGACGTCCACTTCTGTCTGAAGCCCTGAATAAGTCTTATAACCGTGATACGGTGGCATCCGAGGGCGTTGGCAACTGCATTGTATGTCGACCCCATCTGCACCATCCCAATGGCTCTTTCACTCTCTTCAGCTGTTAATCGTGGCATATTTCTCGTATTTGTGTATCATATCATGTATTCTAGGCTCTCTTTATACCCAATACAATCATTCTACATGTGAAATGGATGCAAATGCTACTTGAATATGTCTGCGTTGTGGCGATTGATCTTGCTATGTGTAAACAGAAAATAGACAAAATGTCACTTTGCAAGCAAACAAATTAATAAAAATCCTTTTAGATGTTCCTAAACATTTTTTCACTAATACAAATCGGCAGAAAATGTTTTTAAAGACTGAAATCATAGGAATGATTATTTTACAATTTTACACACTCTACAACACTTATTTCTTGTTTTAATAGTTTAAAAATGGTTTACATGGTTTATCATTGTCCCAAAGCAGAATTTTATTTCAACCTTTCTTTTGGACATCAAAATCACTGTTATTGGTTTCTTTCGGCATGGACGAATATAGGACAATAATAACTCTTCTGAAAAAGATGCATTTCACCTAAATATGAATGCATTTCTTGTAAACTAATACCTTCAAACATACTAACGTATCTTTGACAGTTTTTCAGTAATTCATAAAGGTAGGAGGGTAACGTTTCTTTTGGCGTTTAGTGTATATAGTTTGCTTTTCAAATATTCCAAGGCTGCATTTTAAAAATAACGTTTTGGAAAATAGCACTCGCTGCTAATAAACATTGTTGTTCAAATGAAGCCTTCACTATATGTGTTGATAATCCTCTGACCAAACCTTTCTTTCAACAACTCCTCCAGTACAACACGTATCATGTGAATGTCACATGATCAATGTTTTGTCATCAACAGTAACGCTGCTTTGCGTCGTCATCACCGGGACGTGGGCAGCAAACTGCATCAACGACGCCAGCTGTAACGGGCATGGCACCTGCCCCACGGCCTGCACAACTGTCTGCACCTGCACTGGCGGCTATGGTGACGACGACTGCTCTGTTCGTAAGTTGGTCTGCATTGGCTATTTTAAGAAAACATCAAGTTAATTTAGTTTAACCCAGAAGGACATACTTTCTCATCACTGATACATTTACACATTTCCTCATGAACTTACCTTTATACGCCGAATGGAAACTGTTTCAGTAGATAGTCAAGCCTGGTTCTAGAATGACCTATACAGAGAACAGCATAACGAGATACAGTTATAGTTTCCCTCGTAATGAACGAAGTACTTCAGCAGATATCAGGAGTCCCGTCTGATGCAGTCAGCCCTCTTTACTACCTTGGCTGAATTACTGTTCAAAGTGACTTGTGTCTCTAACAATCACATATAAGATAATGTTTGATCAAATCAAATGTAATTCTTAGAACCCACAACATTGAGCCTCATGTATACAACAACACTAAAACACCGTGTTCCCTCTAGATGGCGACATTGGTTATACAGCATTTAGTTCTGTCTGTTAGTTCTACACAATGCCTGTTTTAGGATGATACGAACACGCTAAATCCATTGTATCGAGTAGTACTTGTACAAGGACTCTCCTTTCTGGTTGAATCAACAGATTCAACTGATTTCTCCTTTACTAAGGTTTATTCTCAGTGATATACCTGAAATACTGTCAGGCCTGATAACTCATTCACTCACCCTACCCCCACTTTCCCCAGCCCCGGTGTGCACGGCCGGCGGCAGCGAGTGCGGCAGTAAGGGCACCTGCATCACTTCCAGATCACCCTATTTCTGTTCCTGTACGGAAGGCTACGGAGGGAGCTTGTGTACAGTAGGTGAGTACAGCGCTGACATCACTGTTAATAAACCTATCATCCTCTGTGAAAAAACCATTGCAGCCAACCAGAAGGTTACATGTGACACAGAATCTGCCTTTGTGTCTTACATACGTGAAAATACTATTTTTGTACAACGCCTTTTACCTAGTAGATTGGAGGAATCGAGCTGGTGTTCTGGATCCTCACTCATAAAGTGTAGATTCGAAGCCTGTGGCTAGATCGAAAGGACTTAAATTACAGAATATTGACCAGAATTTGTACTTTACTAAGAAAGTGTGTTCCAACAATACCATATTATATATTACAATAAATCAGATATTTTGGACATGCATGGGTTTGGGTGAGGGTGCCTTGTGTCAGACTATGAACCTTGTCAGTAATCCTGATTTGAATTTCACCCAAGAGTTAGCGCTATCGACTGGCATGACATTGGTCATCACTACCGCCTAAACTCACTGTGACCCCTTCACGTCTCCGTTGTAGCCCCCGTGTGCACGGCTGGAGGAGGCGAGTGTGGATTGAACGGAAACTGCACCACCACCGCGGTTCCTTACAGGTGCACCTGCAAGAACGGATACTCCGGGACGACTTGTAACATATGTAAGTGTATGACGTCACTGCCGGGTACATGTCCTAGACAGGCTCCAGGACCATCGGGTCAGAGAATCGAAAAACTACAACTCTTTGACTCTGTATGGTAAGACTAGAATAACCCTTAATGATTTCATTACCGCTCATTAGTGCAATATCATTGCAGCCCCCATCTGCACAGCTGAAGGAAACCAGTGTGGCAGGAACGGCAACTGTACAACGGCAGCGTCCCCCTATACCTGCAGCTGTGTGAACGGATACTCTGGAACAAGATGCACTATAGGTTAGTTACAACAGGCATATATACAAGTCCAAACATTAAAACGTGCGTACCTCTCACATGAAAATTAAGACAATGACTAAAACTAACAGTTACTTAAGGGGTTTAAGGGGACAATTGCCCAGTTACTGTCCATGAGGGGATCCAGAATCCCATTACATTTGGTTGGAATCTCAGATTCGAGGTTGGTCAACGTAACTCCATGCGTGTATTTCGCCGTACGTGTCAGATCTGTCTCACCTCAAACTGAGCTCTCACGTTCAGCCCAAACTGTCCAAAACAGGTGATTATATCAATTCTGACACAAACAAACCAATATGGAATGTAATGTTAACATAATTACAGCCCCAGTCTGCACGGCTACAGGAAATCAGTGCGGCACCAACGGCGACTGCACAACGACAGCTTTCTTACACGTCTGCACCTGCAAGAACGGATACACTGGCAATTTGTGTACCGTAGGTGAGTAGGATCACAAGGAAGATTTCCCATCTCTCCAAACACGTACCTTGTACTTACATATAGAGTGAATCAATACAGTGGCCTCAATGATATATATTACTACCTCTCTACAACACGGTTACATTGGTGTTTCTTAAACTGACTTGATTAGACGTGTTTTGTCGTTGTTAAGACATAGTGGGTAACAGGAGTCTCTGTCTGTTAGCTCCATACACGTACCAGTCCATAGTCTGCATCAGTTTCATCATGAATTATACTGAACATGTTTGAAACGGAGAGTGGAACAACGCGCAGAACATCACTAACTGAAATGACATGTTATACTTATATTGTTACAGCCCCCAGGTGCACGGCTACAGGAAATCAGTGCGGCACCAACGGCGACTGCACAACGACAGTCACTCCCTACGCATGTACCTGCAAGAACGGATACTCTGGGCCACTTTGCACCAACCGTTAGTTCAGATTTATACGTCCATCTTCTCGAAATGCGGTGAAATGTATGAATATAACTATGTTTGTCACACTGGTATTTGTATAACAGTTGTAAAACTGTTAATGTATATATTCTTATATATAGGCTTTTCTGGGGAGAATTGTGTCATATATGGACTTGTGTAAAGGTAAAACAGAGTAAAGGTCACTGCCATCACTCATCGCTAGGTTGTTCTCAATGTGCATGTATACCTCTTGTTGTATTTGCATATTGGGGCCGGTGGGGTAGTCTTGTGGTTAATGCGTTCACTCATCACGCCGAAGACCCAGGTTCGATTCCCAAATGTGTACAATGTGTGAAGCCCATGTCTGGTGTCCCCCGCCGTGATATTGCTGGAATATTGCTAAAAGAGGCTTAAAACTAAACTCAATCACTAATCTGTACAGCAGGGACGAGACACTTAGTATTTCACTCTACTACTCTATTTCACAACCACCCATTAGTGTAATATCATTGTAGCCCCCATCTGCACAGCTGAAGGAAACCAGTGTGGCACCAACGGCAACTGTACAACGGCAGCGTCCCCCTATACCTGCAGCTGTGTGAACGGATACTCTGGAACAAGGTGCACTATTGGTGAGTGACCGTTGAGGAACACTGAAAGTATATATGCAGTCTTATTTAGAAAGTATTTCTTTCATACATTACAAAGACGCGTTCAATGGTTTAAACAACTACTCCTCATTACACCAACGGCGCGACAACGACAACCACTCCATATGTCTGCACCTGCAAGAACGGATACTCGGGGCCACTGTGCACCACCCGTTAGTTCAGTTGTATATTTCGCCAGTCTCAAAGCTTCATTTCCAAAAACGACATGTCCATTTAACGTCACTCTGGAAGAAACCAACTGTGTATCTTAAACTATCAGATAACAAATTGTCTTAAAGCATTTCATTAAGATGTAATGTACACTGTTCTCGATTTCATTTCATGTCAACCTGATACTTTGTTTGCTATGTGGGATCGGACCTGGAAGATTATAGACATGTTTCCGTAGTATTCCTGGGTGATTCGAAAGCTTACTATCAACTATGTTTGTTTTATAATGTGAATCAAAGATAAACATTTTTTGTGTTTTTTGCAGGCTAACTTTGTATTCAATGCCATTCCGTATTTCCAATGTATCAAGAGATCATGGTTGTATGACGATAATCGTTCACTTCATAACCTCGAAGGCAACTTGAGAACACCAGCTAACTTCCCAAATGGGTCACGTGCGGAAAGCTGTGGAAAACGTATTGTTATCATTCATCTTTATCATCGTTATAATCGCCACTCCAATATTTAAATTCCAGGACCTATCTGCACAGCAGCAGGAACTCAGTGTGGCAGCAATGGTGGTTGTAACACATGTGGCAAAGTCAACTTCTGCCAGTGCAACGGCGGATACGGCGGTAGTACGTGCTCTCAAGGTATTGCTGAAACAACAACTCGGGTTTTCTGAAACCAGCCTGAACGTCTCCGTGAACTATCTCTCTGGAGAACATATAACCTATCTAATAAATGCACATGAATATGTTCTTGAAAATATCATCAGATACATATAAATATATCGAAAGTTCCTGATGGGTTCGACTGGGCAGCGCTTCCTGGGAGAAGTCCCATTCGCTTTCTGGGCTGCGTGTAGAGGGGGCAAGGGCCCTGAGCTGATGATTAGCCTTACCAGCCTGACTGTGCCAGGATCACCCGAACCCTCTCTGCTGCATTTTCATCTTAATCTGTAAAAGATAATATAAATGAGCATTTCTATAGCGCCTTATCCATAAATCACATGCTCAAAGCGCTGTAATACATTCCATAACTTGCCAAAAAAATATCGTAACATTATTGACCACCCAGCAGGCTGTCGATGAAATATGGCCGGCCCTGAGTTTTCTTAACAGTGGTTAAAGATTTGAGGAACAATGCTGAACGTCTTATAGCACATGAAATATGTAAAACCTAGTCACTGCATATATGGTATACAGAAAATACAAAGTCCCATTTATTTCAAAGCATGATTATGTACACGTAGTGGAGCAAATTTAAATACAGTGAATATTTGTACAGAATATTCGTTATCCGTTTCTTTCAGCCCCCTCCTGCACTCATACTGGGAATGAATGTTTGAACCAAGGTACCTGCAACACCACTGCCTCTCCCTACGTGTGCAGCTGTTCAGACCTCTACTCCGGCAACACCTGCGGTAAGTACACCACGGTGTCTATGTTCAGCATCATGGACAGCTGTCCAGCCCTCTACTCCGGCAACACCTGCGGTAAGTACACCACGGTGTCTATGTTCAGCATCATGGGCAGCTGTCCAGTCCCCCTCTACTCCGGCAACACCTGCGGTAAGTACACCACGGTGTCTATGTTCAGCATCATGGGCAGCTGTCCAGCCCTCTACTCCGGCAACACCTGCGGTAAGTACACCGAGGTGTCTATGTTCAGCATCATGGGCAGCTGTCCAGCCCTCTACTCCGGCAACACCTGCGGTAAGTACACCACGGTGTCTATGTTCAGCATCATGGGCAGCTGTCCAGCCCTCTACTCCGGCAACACCTGCGGTAAGTACACCACGGTGTCTATGTTCAGCATCATGGGCAGCTGTCCAGCCCTCTACTCCGGCAACACCTGCGGTAAGTACACCACGGTGTCTATGTTCAGCATCATGGGCAGCTGTCCAGCCCTCTACTCCGGCAACACCTGCGGTAAGTACACCACGGTGTCTATGTTCAGCATCATGGGCAGCGGTCCTGCCCTCTACTCCGGCAACACCTGCGGTAAGTACACCACGGTGTCTATGTTCAGCATCATGGGCAGCTGTCCAGCCCTCTACTCCGGCAACACCTGCGGTAAGTACACCACAGTGTCTATGTTCAGCATCAAGGGCAACTGGTAACTGTTTTAAAAATATTTTTCTCTTTGACAATAAACTGGTTGTTTAATTCTGTCTTGGTTGATACATCGTAAGACAGAAGTCCAGACATGTGACGGAGGTATGAAAGTAGTCCAGGCTGGGCCTGACAATACAGTGATTCCCATCACATGCCTTGGTACGTGTAATTGGGAACCTCGCGGAAATGTCCACCTGACAGAGTGTCTCAGAACTTTACCGGTTTTATTTGTTCCAGCTCTCATCAACTCAGGTCATCACGTGACCTACTTCCTGGCGTCCACAATCCTCTGCCTGCTTGGAAGTGTTCTGTTTATGTAACTGTTGAGTTGCTAGCCGGTGTTCCTCCTATCTAGAAGAACACCATACTGTCTCCATACATATGTCATTCCCATTTGGGATGAAACAACGTCTGTGACCTATTTAGAAAGCACATTAATATAATTATCATCATATCACTACAGATTCCTGCAACCAATGAGAAACGTTGTTATGTACCCTGATGACGTGTCGAGTTACTGACACCAGTCGGTTGTTCCACTGAAGTAAAGGGTATCGTTCAACAACCAATGTGTTTGTGTTTTATGTCAATTCTGTTTGAAACCTTGACACAATTAACGAACTGCTTATACACGGCATATTAACAGGACATGCCAGGATTTCTATCAATATTGTCTTCCCAGCATAAACCCAACTGACAGGCTTTGTTCAGTTATTGAATGAGTGTGATTTACCGTATACCATCTACCATATAGATTTACCATATACCATCTACCATCCAGATTTACCATATACCATCTACCATATAGATTTACCATATACCATCTACCATCCAGATTTACCATATACCACCTACCATCCAGATTTACCATATACCATCTACCATCCAGATTTACCATATACGAAATGCCATCTACCATCCAGATTTTCCATATACCATCTACCATCCAGATTTACCATATACGAAATACCATCTACCATATAGATTTACCATATACCATTTACCATCCAGATTTACCATATACCATCTATCATCCAGATTTACCATATACCATCCAGATTTACTATATACCATCTACCATCCAGATTTACCATATACGAAATACCATCTACCATCCAGATATTCCATATACCATCTACCATCCAGATTTACCATCTAGCATCCAGATTACCTTATGCCATCTACCATACCGATTTACCATATACCATATCTACCATCCAGATTACCTTATACCATCTACCATCCAGATTACCTTATACCATCCACCATACCGATTTACCTTATACCATCTACCATCCAGATTTACCATATACCATCTACCATCCAGATGTACCATATACCATCTACCATCCAGATTTACCACATACCATCTACCATCCAGATTTACCATCTACTACCCAGATTACCTTATGCCATCTACCATACCGATTTACCATATACCATATACCATCTACCATCCAGATTACCTTATACCATCTACCATCCAGATTACCTTATACCATCTACCATCCAGATTACCTTATACCATCTACCATCCAGATTACCTTATACCATCTACCATACCGATTTACCATATACCATCTACCATCCAGATTACCTTATACCATCTACCATCCAGATTACCATATACCATCCACCATCCAGATTACCATATACCATCTACCATCCAGATTACCATATACCATCTACCATACCGATTTACCATATACCATACATGTGAAACAGGGAGAAGCATCAGGCATTGAAACCTGGAAAACATGGAACCCACGTAAAGATCCAGCACTGCACTGCAACACGGGCACACAGGCACACAGGCACACGGGCACACACCCAGAAACACACACAACTATGTAGACAACTGAGCTTTAGCTGCATATAACAAAGTGGAACCAGACCGGGAAGAGGGGGATGGCACCAAGCGGTGTCCAGAAGTACGTCATGTGCTGCAGTAAGACAACTGACCACTTCTAATGGCTGTGCTGCTGAAAGTTGTTTACACGATGTACTGCCACAGATAGGCACTCAAGTACTGCCGACAGTTTAACTCATATGTTTTCAGACAATAACACACATGTACTGCAGACATTTTAAAGCACAAAACGGTTTCCTCATTCTAGACTGAGAGCAGAGACGATTGTACATGTGTACAGATCATATGCTTATGAATCACTATTAAAATAGTCAGCATACAAGAGCATATCTTGTTCCACCGGTGACACCCGTCAACAAAATAAGGAAATTCGTCGCGCCATCACGCGCAATCCGCGTTCGTTTCCTTATCTTTGTACGGAATGGTATAGTTCGCCATTCCTAGTTTCTTACTTGTCCATGTCCTGGTTGCGGAATAAACTGCATGGTGTTTGAGAGATCGGTGTTGTTCACTGGCGTTGCACATAAGAATACAATGTGTGAAAAGAGTCCAAACAATCAGTTACAGGGCCCCTAGTCAAGGATCATGCACTCCCGAATGCTTAGAAAATGCCATTAAGAAGATCGGTTTTCACTCTTAAATTTAGACACGATGGACAGGCACATCAAATTAGACACAGTCAGGTCCAACAGGGTCCTCGAATTGCTCTCTTGCGGCTGCTGTACATCCAGCCGTCATTGAACTGTATTGATTAAGCATGTCCTGTTTATATGCACAAAAACCGAAATAATAACTGTAGTTCTGGTACAAATTGTCTTCCAACTGTTGGCTGCTGTTGGAATCTGGCCACGACAACACATGATATTCCCTGTCCATCAGAGATATCAACTGCAGCCAATAACAAATACCAATTTTTATCGGTTACTAAAGAATTTAAACGACTCGTGCTTAACAACCCAGTTATGGTAGATATTTACATTTCACTGCTGTAACCATTCTCTTCCCACGGAGGTAACTTGTCAGATATGGTAAGTAACCTCTGTGGGAAGAGAATGTACTGTAACTTGTCCCAGGTGTTTCCCTGATATTTTAAGCAAACGATTGATTTGCCTGTGCGTGTGTTTTCGACGGATGTCATCGATGGGACAGAATACGTATTAAACACAAGCTCGCGATATAGTCGTAATAGTGCTATCATCTCTGTATTTATAAAACATATCTTGTGGTTATGGAAAGCGATTCGTCACCTATATATATATATATGAGGCGTTAATACAGATATATGTTTCACATGTTCAAAATTATGTAATACAAAGCTGGGTAAGTGAATGTGTGATAATT